TGCCGTTCGAAATGATACATTAAGTTGATTGCGGTACACATTTTGAAAAACGCAGTATGTATTCCGTCCTCACATATCACCGAATCGAAAAATTTCAAAAGCTTGTTCGGTCGAAACCGATTGCAGATTCGTCTTCTCCATGGTTGATTATGTGGTACGCAATAACGTTTCGATCGGGGTACTTTAGAAAAAAATTTTCCCAGGGTCTTGCTCAAAAATTTTTCCAAATGTTACCGTATGGGACCAAACGCAAAACGATGTCGAAAATTGTTTCTAAAGTACCCCGATCCAGAAGTTATCGCGTACCACATAATCAACCATGGAGAAGACGAATCTGTAATTGGTTTTGACCTAACAAGCTTTTAAAATTTTTCGATCCGGTGATATGTTTATTGGTTCTATATTGTTTTGATTTAACCGTTTAAAAGTACACCTAATACTGCTGTTTCTAGTTACTGATTTATTTGGAATGTGTTCTATGTAAATAATAAGTTGTAGAATGGCTTCTGGAGGAATAACAACAGCAGTAGGTGATGCTGTGGGAAATAAGAAACCATGGATGGGTATGTCAATAAAATATAATTCAGGTAATGAAACCATGGAATCAGAACTCAGTGACCAAGATTTATACCAAAATCAAACGAACGATACAACTACGCCGATGGTAGCAAAGAAAGGAAAAGTAAATAATACGGCTTTTAAATTTTGATTTCTGAATCCACGAAAATTAGTTGCTACAAAGAAACGCAGCTTAAGGGTATGGGACTAAAAAGCTGTTTTTCTATATTGTCCAATCGCAAAATTGTTCGTAAAAGTAGCTCTTTAACATCAAATTTTTGTTGGTTTTATATACTGAAACATTTCCGAAAAAAACTCTTATGCTACTCTTATCTTAACCGTTATAATTCATGCCGGTATACCGGTAGCCGTTATAATTCATACCGGTTGCACCTCTGACTCTGTCCAGCCTTCCTGCACATCCGAAAGAAGATTATGACTAAAAAACAGCAAACAAAAAAAAAAATTGCCACTATTTTACTGTATGTTCCGGAGTAAAAGCTAAGAGATTCAGAGACCACTGTTAACTTGTAGTCATTTGAATTAATTAAGTTATTTTAAACGTAGAACTTTCAGGCCTCTCATACGTTCACCAAGACGAAGAAGCCCCAACTGTCAAAACTTATCTAAACTGACAGTGGTGTTTTAAGGACCAACATAGGTGCCCTTTTTGGCATTTCTGGATTAAAGTGGTTTTTACTCAGAAACTAAACAAAAGTCGATTATTATTTTAGACTAAACCGATCAACAGTACAACTACTCAAAACGCTTCCACAAGTGACTTAATTAATGTACGCAAAGGTGATCTGATAAAGCAGAATGTGAGTTGCTGTATTGTCAAAATTACTGCTCAATTCATTGATATCGCTTTTGTAGGCAGACGTAATTGTTTTAACCACATCATCACTAACTTTAATGAACCTTATATTTAAACAAGCTGGGGATACCGTAAAAACCGAATTTGAGACCGAAATAAGACAAAATAAAGGCGCATTTCTTATTTCAACATCTTCCGGACAATTGTCATGTAAGAAAATTTATTTTGTATCGTGGATACCTAATAAAAACGTGACAATTCTTGCTCAATCAATTAGTAAGCTTGTTTCGATTGCCATACGAAAAGCTATACACGAACAATGGCAAAGTATAGCGTTTCCCGCTATTGGCTGTGGTGAATATGGATGTGCGACGGATGTTGTAGCGGAAACAATGGTAACAGGGGCACATGATCAGTTGAAACTTTTAAATACAAATCTGGTTATATCATTTATCGTACAACCGGACCGCGATAACATTTATGAAGAGTTTCATAAAAATATTCGGTTATTAGAAAATAATCACTCAACTGATAACGTTCAAACGAAAATTGAGGCAAATGTAGCAAAAGGAACAATTGAAGTCGTAACAGGAGATCTCATAAGTCAAAAGGAAAGTATTATTTTGCTTGCTACTTTGTACCATAGCTGAGATATAGCATAGAATAGTGAATGACGCAGAATCTAATATGATAAACTGAAATAATTTCAATGAGTTTAAGGTTAGTTGTTTGAGATGACCCAAGTCCGTCCTATAAGATGAAGGTTTCTTATAATGAAATAAAAATCAATGAACTGGATGTCTTTGGACGTTTCCACACTATTGTCAACACCAATAGTCCGAAAAGGAATTTTAGTGTTCTGAGAGACTTTCAAAATTTACAGCAGTCGTGTGTACAGTCTTTAAAGGCCATTAGTTTCATTTACCCTTTGAATATCAGAAGAATAAATGGCTAAAATGTCGCGTCATAAACGCTCGAAATGGCGTACTGAGTTGAACGGATAGTTTAAAGTAAATAGGTTGTACGAAGTGAATTAGACTCGGCTGTATGATGAGTTCCAAATGATATGTGGGTTGATTGTGGTAGCATAGTTCTCGACTTTGGATGTTGCGTACTAGGTATAAATCAGAAAATGCAGAGACCTTCGCCAACACTCGGTATAAAAGTCAAGTAGTATGTGTTGTGAGCGAATTTAGATAACAGTTTCGTCCATAACACACAAGAATGTGACCCCTCTTTAGAAACAACACACTTTCTGCACGTCCTTAAGGATACAAGTAAAACAAATGATTAAAATGCCTTATTTTTCCGGAATTTTCAACTGACGCACCTATTCAATACGACCACAGACGGAGTTCTACAGAAACAAAAACTAAAATTTTAAAGCAAATTTCAGAAAACCTCTCAGAACTGTAGTAAATTGCATGGCTAATGTAACAGTGTTTTAAAAAAGCTTGGATATAAGGCTTGATGAGTTGAATTATTCAAGAAGTTGAAATGTTGATTTTAATACTTAATGGAATCAAACGGTTATATAACTGACATCCATGATTTTATCAAGTTTCTGGTTAGAGAACGTTGATTTTCCCATTCAGGTTGATGTTATTGTTGGTTGTTCGTCATCTGCATCACTAAAGCGATATATAGTGAAAGCTGCCGGAGTAACTATTGAAGAATCTTACAACAATGAAATTAAAAGTAATCCGAACGCACTTTTAATCTCCACTCCACCTGGTAACTTATCTTGTAAAAGAATATTTTTTGTATCATGGACACCATATACAGATGAAACAATACTTCGACAGTCGATTATTGATTTTATGTCAAATTCAATCCAAAATGCCATAGCGCATAATTTCAAAAGTATTGCATTTCCTGCTATTGGTTGTGGCGATTATAATTGTTCGATTGATATTGTTGTTAAAACAATGGTTAAAGAAGCAAAAAATCAGTTAACAATAAGAAATGTTCCCCTTCAAATTTTGTTTATAATACAACCGAATAAACAAAATATATACGATGAATTTTGCAAGCAAGTTGTTTCAGCAGAAAGTAAGTCTGAAGATCCACCTTTAAACCAGATAACTGATTCAATAATTATAAAAAGTCAGTAGTAGATAATTTTCTCTGAAGATATCTTGTGTATCTACTACATCCTCTGAAGACAGGGCTACTATTCTGTGAAATGCGGTTGTTATAAGCTTTGCTGAAAGAAGTACAGAAGGAAAGCAACCTGTTAATAAATGAACAGAACAAAAAGAAAGAGAAAAACCGATTACATCAATTTTGTCTGTTTATACGTGAAAAACTTGCAACTGCACATACAGCTAAAATAAGATCATACACTCAGAGAAGGGAGTTAAATTAATCAAAAGGAAAAAATAATTTGAGAACAAAAGAAAAAGAAGGTAGCAATCGAAAACAGAAGAACATTGAAAGTGGGAGAACGATAACAGCATGTAAGAAAGAAGAAAAAGAGATAAGATTCAAAAACGTTGAGTACTTTTTATGTATGTAGCAACAGATATACAGACTTATAGACATTCTCCAGTTTTTGAAGGAAAAGCACATCACTAAGTGTGAAGGAGACATTCGAGCTAGAGTACACCAGTCTTTGATAAGGTTATCACGTTGTAATTGGTAAAGTGGATATCCCTATAGAAAATGAGCCGTTGCTACCTTTACACAAATACAAAACTGGCTTACATGCAAGTTTTTTCGGAACAAATTAAAGTTGAGCGGGCGAAATTAACTCTCATTTGATTAATCAACCTGTTATATTTCCGTTATGTACTTCTATCAACCAACTCATTCACTGCAGAATCACCCTGAATAAATCCAGAAAGAAAGAAGAGAAGAGAAGAGGATTTAAAAAACGGTTCGCCAGCCCATCAAGAAATCAAGTCACGAGTGAAAATTGATATATACTTTTTATTCCATATTCGGATTCTACTAGCATAACTGGGGTTATTAAAAGTTTAAAAAAATTTTCTGACTTATTCTGACTGAGTTATAGAATTTATAAAATGAGCACCATCGCCAAAACTTGAAAGCCAGATGGTAGACCAATCGCGAGTTTTTAGTTTTTTGAAATTTTAGTCATCAAGCTTCACGTAAGAACAAAAAAGAAGATGATATTTGGAATCAGCGTCAAAAACTGCATCAAACGATGTGCCTTTGAACACTTTTAGAGAAATGACCATCTTATTTTTGTTCTTAAGTTAGGCATGCAACGGTAGCGGTAGTTTACCTGTTTATCGTAACCGGTACTACCGCTACTACCGTTACTACCGCTACCGTTCTACTGGTACTACCGTCACTACCGCTACTGTTCTACTGCCGTTATCGATCTACAGGTTTTATCGTTCATTGCGGACAGATAGTATCGATTCTAGAGAGAGTAAAATTCTGTAAAGCATATGACGATGTCGTTATTGTAACAGATTTTGATGCTTTACTCTACATTTTGTTTTCTCTGCATTTTATTGGCTTAAGCAGTCTCAAATAAGAAGAAGAAATAATGGTTTTTATCGTTTTGTTTAATTTTGGTTTTACATAAACAGCGGATGAAACCTAAGCAACTCGAAAATCTAATTTCGGCTTATTAAGGTTCACGAATTTTGATTCTTTCATGTGTCTATGAGTTATTGAAGACTGAGTTAAGTTACATTTGCAACTGTGTGATATTTTACAATAGGTTTATCCGGAAAAGGTTACCTACGGTGACCGGTAGAACGGTAACGGTAGTATCGGGAGAACGGTAGCGGTAGTACCGTTATCGGCTTTACCGCTACCGTTGCATGTCTATCTTAAGTGATGACTAAATTTCAAAAAACTAAAAACTCGCGATTGAGTTATAGTCAAAATATCAGCGATGGCTTTTCGCAAATCGACGATGGTGCTCATTTTGTAAATTCTATAACTCAGTCAGAATAAGTCAGAAAGTTTTTTCAAATTTTTAATAACCCCAGTTATACTAGTAGAATCCAAATATGGAATAAAAGGTATATGTCAATTTTTCACCCGTTACCGGTCTTTGACGAAGCCTCTCCTAATAACTTCTCTTGACATGCTCATGAAGTCTGTGAAATACTAGTCTCTCAGACACTTCCCACATTGCAGACAAGCAACTAATAGCTTGTAATTTGTAGCAAGTGTCTCATCACCATCTCTAAACAACAGCTGTTTAAACCCAGCAATGTCAAATTCCAGAATTTTATGGAAATTCCCAGAATTAACAGAACTTCACAGATTCAATAAGTACTACTTCTTGGATTCTGGTCACATTCTGATAAATTCGAATTCTGATCCCACTAGAACCTGACCAGAATTACTGCAGAATTGAACAGAATCTGCTAATTCGTAGAATGTATCTCAATGAGATAGAGAATATGTAGTGAATTCTAGTAGAATTGGACCAGCATCGGCCATGTTATTCGCTGCAGTTTTATGCGCTGATTCTAAATATCACATTAGTTTTCAATAAAAGTGCTTCTGGATTGCAAAAAGTAGATTTTATCTAAAAACTTCAGGGTTTTTTGGAAAACCTGTTTGTAGACCAAGAAGAAAAACCGCATTCATCGTAGATGCAGTATATGTTGGCAAACATTTTGATATAATTTTCAGTTAGATTCGAGAAATTATTTAAAATTTTTTGCAGTTAGATAGCCCATCTATCACAGTATATTTGACACTATTTGAATTTTGAAAAAGCATACTTTCGATTTTTTGCCAAATGTCCGCCTGCATGCTCACTGTGTACCAGAGCTCCGTATGGACTGGATTGAGTCCATAGTCCAGTCCACATGGACTGGACTGGACTCAGATTTTTTGGATTTCATGGACTCGGACTGGACTGGACTGGACTAGACTTTTTTAGTCCATGGACTGGACTGGACTAGATTATGTCTGCTGTGTACTGAGGATAAGACAGTTCACTGACAAAAGTACTCTACCAATTTTTTTGGAACCAGCGGCTTCGAAAAACATAATCTCAAACTAACATTTTTCAATGTTTAATAAGCGCTGAATGATCAGATGGTTTTGTTAGTAGTAACTAAAATTCTGTTCATTCTCATATGTCTTGTGAATGTCGTATCTGTCTATAGTATCTCTAGATACAGCCGACGTACGATATGCACAGAAGCCGAGTAATGCAATTGTATTATATCAGAGTTGCTCAGGACATGTATATTGACCAGTGCAGGAAGAAATCTAAAATATAAGCATAGAGTGCAGAGGAGAAGCGCCTTTCTTCAGAAGTTTGCTTTTGTGTATACAGTGCTTTTTGTGTAAAGACAGTTAGGAGTTCTACAACTAGCGTATGAAAGATGTAGCAAAATGAAAAACTTGTCTCCATTAGATTGGGTGTGTATACAATGTTTTAAAACTTGCTCATAAATGGATTGTCAGAAAACTTCAGGGAGTGAAACCGGACTTCACTTTTTTGTTCATCAGAAGTTATACAAAATGTTTTTTTCTCATTTGAAATTGGGAAGAACTAATCATTCAAGTAAAGAGCTCCGAAAAAATGTTAACAAACGAATAACCACTAAGTTCTCTGCCGAAAGCAAACTTGTTACCCTGTTATTTGTTCAGAAACATTTCAAAATAATAGGAAATCTCATTGCTTCTTGCAGAAAAGACGTTTTTTGGCGTTAACTTGCAGCTTAAGTAAGTTTTTTTTTGTGAAACTATATCTTTGTTTGCCAGTAAAAGATTTGACAAGCTAAGTCTCAGTTTAGATCTAATTGTATTTTCATTTTTCCGTAATTTCCAGCATCCAATGTATCAATGTATTATCAATTACCTAAAACATGGGAGCATTCAGCAAATGGCGATAGACGTTTTAAGCTGAAAGCAAATAGCGATGAATATAAATTTGTTATTAACGAATTTAATAATACAATGAATGGAAAATATTCACAAATAGTTCGAATAGAACGTATACAAAATGAACGATGGTATATGCAATATTTGGCACATCGTGCAGATTTTAAAAGACGTCTCAATAAAGAAACAGAAAAACATTTATTTCATGGATGTCCAGAACAAGCTGCAACAGCAATTATTGGAGATTGTTTCAATAGAAGTTTTGCTGGAGTTAATGGTAAGACGAGCTATGTAAAAATGGACTAAAACAGATGTTATTCATGCAGAGATGGACGAGTCACCACTTTTTCTAGTCTAAGTCAAGTCCAGATCCGAGTCCGAGTCACATCAAAAATTGACTCGAATCACCTCGAGTCATTTTCTAGAACTGAACTTCTTCCTAATCCATTTTTCCAAGAAAGCGCTTACAACGCTGTTTTGTATCTCCTGTTTGTCTTGTCCTTTTCTAAATCTTCAATCTTTTCATGTGACGCGATGTTCTACTTAGAATATTCTTAAATTTGTCCCTCTGTACTAATATATAATAAACACCGTCATAATAATCCAAAGCTGTACATGATTAACTCAAACCGGAGTAGAGATCTGCACGGATTAAGAAAACCTAACTGGAACCCGACCCGACTGTCAAAATGACGACACGACAACATCTGTCCCGAACCTGACCCGACCCGACAACAACTTAACCCTAATTCGACCCGACAAGTTTTTAGTCTTTTGTTTTGTTTTTTAGTTTATGTCTTTTTATTTACCTATTTATTTAGCGGAGGGTATCGCATTTCAGGTGAGTGACCTTTTGCTAATAGTCTGCTAATACCGTACTGTACTGAACCCTGTACTGTGCTGTACAACCCGAACCCGACTCGACCCTAGGGTCGAGTCCGGTTCTGGTTGAACATTGTGCGGCGCAATTTAAAATATAGATAATAATTTCAATTCTGTATTAATCGTTGAAGAGTTAACTCTACTGGAATTTTCATTTGAAATACTTATTTCAGAACAACTGCATTCGCTAACGAAGTAAGGTCTTCAGATGCCCAACTCTGTTTTTAATGGTATTATGCCAGTTAATAGAGGAAAGTGAAGAGATAAAAATCCTCAAAGCAGGACCTATATCAGTTCTTTCAAAAGTTATGAATTTTTCTGTTCTAAAGGAACACTGTGTGTAGTAACAATAATAATTATGTAACCCAGTCAGAACAAAGAATTAAGAAGTGAAACTCTCTTTTGTACTTTCGCTAATAGTCTGCTAATAGTACAGAAAATCGGAGCGTTATATTTTCCTAAATTCGCTTGCCATTGAACTTTTTTCTTCGTGAAGGAAAACAATGTTTTTCCATACCTCGCAATTTTCAATGATAACATTTTTGTTTTATTAGAGGTGATATTGAGAATTTAGAAAGATACTACGTTCAGATTTTCTGGAATATTAG